GGATGGAGCTTGATCCCATTTCACACAAAACTGTGTTTGCTGCTAATTAAAAGAAGGATTAGCCAGGCTGTGGTAGACCACAACTTTAATCCCAGCACTCTGGAGGCAGAGGCAGGCGGATCTCTGTGAGTTTGAGGCCAGCCTGGCCTACAGAGCGAGTTTCAGGACAAAAAAAAAAAAAAACTCTGGAAAAACAAAATCAACCAAACAAACAAAAGAATAAGGCTTGTAAATAATAAATGTTCGAATTTTGAAAACTTAACTCAGCCATTTTAAACTTACTAGGTTCCTAGTTCTTAGACTCACCACAAACCATGGTCACATGCGACATGTTGTCTATTGGAATATGTTAGTATCTGGATGGCTATGAAACTTTTCTGGATGTGTTTTCATAATGACATGTATTCTGTAGTCATGTCTCAGGTTGGGAGTTCAGTGCAGAGGTAGTACTGAACTCTGGTGTGTTTGAATCCCCAAGTTTGGTTCTTTGAAACACACACCATAAAAATTCTATTCACACTGGGATGGAGAGATGGCTCAGCGGTTAAGAGCAATGACTGCTCTTCCAGAGGTCCTGAGTTCAGTTCCCAGCAACCTCATGGTAGTTCACAATCATCTATGATGGGATCCCTTGCTTTCTTTGTGTGTGCAGTTACACATGCAAATAGAACACTCATATATACACAACATACATAAATAAATCTTTAAAAAGGCGTCTTTTGAAAAAAATAAAATAAAAATTCTGCCCAGTGTGTTTCAATGTAACAGATCCTGGTAGAATTTGGATTTCCCATTGCAAATGCCTTTAAGAAATCATTACATCACAAGTTTTAGTACAGTGTCAAAGAGTTCCCTCAGCTATCTGAAAACAAACAAAAAACCTTTCTCTTTACAACATTGAGATTGTGTAAAACTATATTTTCTTCTTATACTTTAAACAGCTTTTATTTTTGATGATGGTAATCCGTCCTTTGCTCAGCATAGGCAAAAATGTTTTATCCTTAATTAAATGCAGAAACAAGATCTTAAAATAGTCTCCATTCTAGTATGGCATACACCAAAGAAATTTATATTTTTAATTAAAACATTTTAAGTAAGCCACTCTTGTTATTAGTTTGGACAATACACTTAGTTTTCTGAAGTCCTAATCTCATTTAGAAGCAGTACTCCCCCCCCCCATTGGCCTCAGTATTGCCATTATAACTATGGAATAAATTACTATAATTTGGTACATGCATGCATTGTTCAATGACCACATCAGCATAATTAGCATTTCTATCTCCTTAGATATTTTCATTTTCTATTTCATGGGCACCCTCAGACTCTGATCTCCATTTTCTCTGAATCATAGTTGTAGACTTGTCATTGCTTTATTGTGTCAGACAACATCTCAGTTATGTTTGGTACCATTGTCCACTCTCACTGTCTCCCTGTTCTCCCTTTCCCAGCCTCTAGTGGCTCCACTGGCACTCAGTGTGTACTGGATTAGCCCCTGTTGTATCTGCAGATAAGTGACAGCGCCAGGGTTGTCTTTCTGTGCTGTGTAACTTGCTTTTCTGCCTTCTCCAAGTGTAAGAGCAGCAGTATTTGTCTTGGTGTTTGCAGCTTTTCTCCCTTCCCTTAACATGCCATCTTCCTCTTCTATCCATGTTGCCAGAAAAGAGAGTAAAGCTTTATGGTTGAGTGGTATTCCACTGCCCATTTTAAAAGTCTGTTTAGTTTCGATGGACACTTCGACTGTCTTCACTGTTATATTGCAGTAAACACAGTGTGCAGGCATCTCTTTGACAGAATAATTCTGAGACCCTTTAATATAGTTCCTAGTGTTGCAGTGATGACTAACCATAAAATTATTTTTGTTGCTACTTCATAACAGTAATTTTGCTATTGTTATGAACTGTGATGTACATGTCTGTATTTTCCAATGGTTTTAGGTGACCCCTTGGAAAGGGGTTGTGTGACTCCCAGAGGAGTTGAGACCCACACCTTGGGATGCAGCTTTAATGTGTACCCCAGAGTGGGATTGTTTGATCATATGGTGTTTTAGTTTTGATTTTTTGTTGAACTTGACATTATAAATACAGTAATGCCAGAATTAAGTAGAGTTAAATAACAGTGTAATGTGATTGTTTCTATAAAGTCTAGTGTGATTGAAACATGTCCTGTTGTGGAAGGCAAATGCAGGTAGCTGGTTAGAGCAGGTCTGTAAACACCTGCTTTAGGACACCAAGTGAATGTCTTAAGTTTGCCAGTTCTACAGGCTGTTATGAGAGCAGCCACAAACTGTTCACAAGAGATGAGCTATGGCTAGGTTCCAGGAAAGCTTTGCCATGTGCCTACTCTGATTTGCTGGTGTTCTGGATTCCTTGAAATTCTCATATGAATTTTAATACCAGCTTGTCAATTCATGAGAAGAATTACTGGAGATTTTCAGACGAGATCGGACACGTTCAGGGTGGTATGGCCGTAGACTACTGGAGATTTTCACTTTGCCAACTTGAGTAGTATAGATGGTGTATTAGTTAGTTTCGTGTTGTGATCAAATACCTGAAAAGCAGTTTGTGGGAGAAATGGTTTATCTTGTGCCCATGCTGGGGAGGCTACGGTGATAGTGCAGGAGTTGTTGGCACTGCTTGCTTACATCTTGGAGGGCCAGGAAGCAGAGTACGGGGCAATTTCCACACTCAAGGGACTTTCTCCTTTACCCCTTCTATTCACTTCAGGGCCCCTGCCTGTGGGATAATGCTACCCACTTGTTCATCCAATCTGGAATGTATCTGACTTGCTGAGTGCGGTGGCACACCTTTAATCCTAGCACTCTGAGGCAAGGCAGGCAGATAGCTGAATTCCAGGCCAGCCTGGTCTGCATAGTAAGCTTCAGGACAGTCAGGGCTACACAGAGACCCTGTCTTGAAAAACCCAAAAGGGGAGAAACAAAGTGTCTGACCAATCAATGCTTTGTTTCCTACAACAGTCTGATCTGTAAATTTGGTGCTTTCTTTATGTTTAGGTACTTAATTTCTTTTATCAGTTAATAATTTTCAGTTTGTTTTATACTATTTTATCTTTGACCTCTGAATAGCAAACCTCACTTTTCCAGTCCCTTGAATTCTCTGTAGAAGAGAGTCTCACAGGAAAGTGCTATGAGTATCGATCACACACAGTGAGTGCTTACAGGGGCTTAGAACCTGTGGAGGAGAAACGGAGGGCTGTGCTTCCTTCTCTCTCATGAGACCCGAATTCTTCATTGCAGGATGAGTGAGCAGAAAAGAAAGTCCATTTTTTGATATCTGTGAGTATTCACTGTAAGAAAAAAGGTCATTGTCACAGATGTTAATAATACTGGGAGAAACACAAGAAAGACTTAAGTAATCATAATTGCCTGATTTTTCCCCCCATTAATTCACTACGAAGATTCTTCTCTGAAACTGAAGAAAATAAGTCAGTGTACAAAGAAATTGGAAATTTTAAATGCAGTTCCTTCATTTGACATGTAAATTAAATGCAGAAATACCTTGACACTGTAGAAAACTGAGTGATATAGAAAATGTGCTCAAAATTAAGTAATACAAAATTGCAGTAAATTGAAAAGATGAAAAATAAAAGCATGGAGGATGCTATGTACATTTTACTTGGAAATGAGAGTAAGAGCAATTGATTAGAGAATATTTTAAATTAAAGGGAAAGTCCATTTCTTTCTTTTTTTTTTGAGACAGAGCTGCATGAAGCTCACGCTGGCCTTGAACACATGACCTCTTGTGTGCTTCACTGTTGGTGTGACTACAGTCATGCTTTAACCATATCCACAAGGAAATGCTGTTGATATAAAGTTAGATGTGATCCCAAAGGCAGAGGTATCTTTGTATTTTAGGGGGGAAAAGTATTGCAAAGAGAGTTTTAAAAGCATTATTTTCAGTGTGTACATGTATGGTCAAAGGATGACTTGCAGGAGTCAGTTTTCTCCTTTCACTGTATCCTTCCCTGGGATTCAAACTCAGGTTGTCAGGCTTGGCAGCAAGTGCCTCTATCTACTGAGCCATCTCAGTGGTCCAAAAGTTTTGTTTTTTTTGTTTTTTGTTTTTTTTTAACTTTTTGAAAATGGAGTTTTAACTTTATTTCTTATCCATAGAAAAGTTGGAAGAATAGTTCAGAGAACCTACAAATCCTTCTTTGGTTTCTGACAGACTTTCCTCTTATCACTTCCCTAAACAATTACCATAGCTATCATGTATGGTCTTTAGATGATAGTCTTCAGGTGTAAGGCATGCAGAAGCCACGCATGGCTCTCTGTGGAATACTGGTCATTTTATAGGAGGTTGTCTATAATGGGCAGTTCTGGAACTGACCCTTGGATACTGAGGAATGATTGTGTACAAGATTGTGAGAGGAACTGAAAACATTCTGCCAGTTTACCTTAAGCATAGTAGCATTTCCCTACAAGACCACAGTGCAGTGAGCACATTTTATACTACTTATTATTGAAAGTAGTTTCCTTTATTTTTATTTTATGTATATGAGTGTTTGCATGTGTACCTCATGTGTGCAATGCCCACACAGACCAGAAGAGAGGGCATTAGATTCCTCTGGAACTGTAGTTATCAATAGTAGTGAGCCACCATGCAGATGCTAGGGGCTGACCCTGGACCCTCTGGAAGAGCAGCCAGTGCTGAGCCGTCTCTGCAGCTCCCTGTAGAGCTTCTTACTCTTTGCTGTTCTCACACAAGTAGACTAATTATGCTAAAAGGACAAAGGCTGGTATGATAATGAGCAGGAGAAGAAATCTGAAGCCTGCTGGAACATGTCACACGTTGAGAGTGAATGTCCTGCTGGTTGCTTTGGGGCAGGGCAGAAAAGGGATTTTGGGCTTCACTTTTGCCCCCTTGAGTTTGTCATAGAAAATGAATAAAGTTTCTTGACAACAATCCTGAAGGAGCTGAACCCTCATTTAAATAAAACTTAGGTTGTTATGGCTTCTAATTTAATTTTGTTTTCAATTTTAGGAAACACTCCTTTACATCTTGCTGTGATGTTAGGAAATAAAGGTTAGTAAATACTTTTCATGTTTAACTTCACTCACACACACACATTAGTGTTGTCATTAAAAACATATTTGTGTATATGTATGTGACTTCAAGCATGCCTCTGCATGTGTATGAAAATTAAAGGACAACTTGTGGAAGTTGCTTCTTTCCTTCTGCCACGTGGGTCCTGGGGATCAAAGTCATGTTACCAGGTTTGGTGGTAAGAGTCTTCACCCAGTGAGCCATCTTGTTGGCTCCAGTTTGGTCATTAAAAATTACTTAGCCAAGGGCTAGAGAGAGAGCTCATTGGTTAAGAGTAATTGTTGCTCTTGCATGGGACTTGGTTCAATTCCGGTTACCCACATAGTAGTTTACAACCATTTATAACATTATTTCCAGGGAATCCAGTGTCCTCTTTGGACATACTTACATGCACAGACATACATGCAGAAAAAACACACTTAAAATAATATGAAAAAAAATGTTTAAAAAAAACTTCATAAAACATTAGTTTCAGGGGATACTGGTAAGTAGCCAGAAGAAAACAGACTTTCCAGGTAAAATCCATGTGAGAAAATCAAGTTACTAAAGTCTCACCCTAGAGCCTTGACAAAACAACACGTGCTGTGACTTTGATATTGGGGCAAGCATAGGATTGTAGCGAGTTGTGTCCCACAGTTATTTTATATTACCACTTTATGAAATTTTTTAAGAGACAAGCATCTGGCAGAATGAATTTTGGGAAAGGCTTGGATAGATGATTCAGGGCTCACAAACAGTGTTGATACTCTTTTTTGAAAACATTTAAATTTGTTTCTATTTTATGTGTCTGTTTTGATCACATGTATACCTGTGTACTATGTTCGTGCTTGGTACACTTAGAGACCAGAAGAGGGTGTCAGATTCCTTAGAACTGGAGTTAAAGGTGGTTATGAGTCACCCAACATGGGTGCTGTGAACTGAACCCAGGTTCTTTGGGAGAGCAGGAAGCATTCTTAACCATGGAGTCCTCTCTCTCCATATTTTTCGATTAAGCATTTTAAATTAAGTTTTCTTTAGGGCTTGATTGATTTAACTGTAGCTCCAAGAGATCTGACATTCTTCTGGCCTCTCAGAAGAATGCTTGTGAATGCTCACTGAGAGCGTTTCCTCCATCCAGTACACTGGATGGTGTAACTTGTTCTCTGGTTACATCATTTGTTGGCTGGCAATAATTTATTTTTCTAAAAAGAGCTCACCCCTTACTTTCATGTTTTCTGACAATTCTCCTGCTCATTCCTGTCCCTTTGCTATAGTGCTCCTGTGGTTCAATACTACTCAGCCAGTATTGGTTCAGACTTCCAGAGTCTGACCCTGAGAACCTTATTTTAGACATACTTAAGCACAGCACAATTTGGAAAAAAAATTTCCTGGTAATAATTAACTCAAACCTGTGTGCACAACAAACCTTAAGATATGACTACATTGAAATTCTTTATAAAAAACAAGTGATATCTTCTGTAAAGTTAGGTTCTATAGATGGTCTGGGGGAGGATAGATAGTGCTATAAACTGACTGTGACAAAGAGTTAAGGGTCTGTGGTCTAGGGTTTTTTTTTTTAAGATAATAATTTATTATGTCTATAGTGTTCTGCCTGCATGTATGCTTGGACTTCAGAAGAAGGCACCAGATCTCATCATAGGTGGTTGTGAACCACCATGTGATTGCTGGGAATTGAACTCAGGACCTCTGAAGGAACAGCCAGTGCTCTTAACCTCTGTGGCATCTCTCCAGCCCTCAGGGTGGTTTCTTTTAAAAGCACTTTTTTTTTTTTAATTTTCCCTGAAATAAATAATTAGCATTTCATTTACATGATAGATTTGTAAATTCTCCTTTAGGTCTTTTTGGGTTGTAGATATTTTCTTGTTTGTTTTTCAGACAGGGTTCCACCATGTAGCCCTGACTGATTTGGAACTCAATATGCAGATAAGGCTAGCCTCCAAACAACTCTCAGAATTCCATCTGCCTTTGCCTCCCAAGTGCTTAGATTAAAAGCGTACACCACCATGCTCAACTGAATTGTAGATATTTGTATAAATTACTCTTGAGGGTCTTTTAGTTATTTTTTAGTTTTGGGAAACATGCTTCAAATATTCCTTGGAGATGGGAAACGATTTTTAGAGAAAATCCAATTTATTTTTAGTTAGATTGGGTACCTTTGAATCTGGGGAACTGATACAACCTGATTATACACATGGGATTTTATATGCAAGTTATTTAATTATACTTAGAACAGCATTGTTTCACATATGTAGTAATCTGGTTTCTTGAACTTTTGCATAACACCCTTATTTAAAGATTCTAAAAATTGCATGTCTGATAATTGTCACTAATTTATGTTGCAGAATGCGCACATTTACTGTTGGCTCACAATGCTCCAGTAAAGGTGAAAAACGCTCAGGGATGGAGCCCTCTGGCGGAAGCCATCAGCTATGGAGACAGACAGATGAGTAAGCAGTACTTCAAGAATACAAATTGATGTGTTGAGGTAGTTTTTATGTGGTTTGACTTCTACTCAGTAATCTGCAAACGTACACATGAATTATCCATGACTAGGGAACTCCATCATTGAGCAGCAGGAAGAGTTGAGTCATGTGGGAAAGCCTTCTCATCTTCTCCTTGAAGCATTCAGTGTTTTTGGTGCTAGAGCTGTTTCTCTTTCGAAGTCAACAATCTATTATCTTTTCTGGCAAATTATTACTTAATGATTGGTTTACTAATTGAAATAAAAATTAATAGTGGGTGCTACCTTCACTTACCTACTTTCAGTGGTGGTCGATTTTCCTGGAAGCTAGGAACTGTGCTGTCTCTTGGTTTAGTCTCTGAGCTGTATCTTGAATTCTAATTGGTCTTATAATAAAAACCCGGAGTCAGATATTAGGGGGTGAAAAGCTGAAAGATCATAGAAGCAGAGCAGCAGACACTAGTTCTTACCTCTACCTCAGACCGTAAGGGTGATCCTGTTTCTGTGAATCCTCAGACTGAATGCCATGAGCTCCTGTTTCCTCCTGCCTTATATTCCTCTCTCAACCCAGCCATATCCTGTCTCCACCTCACTAGTGCTGGGATTAAAGGCATGTGATCACAAGTGTTGGAATCAAAGGTGTGAGCTCTGTTTCTCTTTGAGACTTACTCAGTCTTGGGTAGTCAAGGGTGGCCTTGAACTCACAGAGATCCATCTGTCTCTGTCTCCTGAGTGCTGGAATTAAAGGTGTCACCACTGCCTGACATCTATGGCTAACTAGTGGCTTAGCTCTGCACTCAGATCTTCAGGCCAGCTTTATTTGTTAGATCACAAACAAAATATGACCACACTTGAGCCATTATGTTTCCATATCCTGGAGCTCTTTCATAGAACCTCCCTACATTTCTCCACACCTGATAAATTCAGGGCCTGACTTAATGTGCTCAGACCTACTCAGGGCTAAAGGTGAATGCTGTCCCCTGTTGTTGTACCTGTTGGTTCTCTCAGTCAAAGTGACCCTGGATTGCCACAGTAGCTGTAGCCTCCCCATTCACCATACCTGGCTGTTGGGGGTAGTTCCTGATTGGCCAAACCATCTCTACCCCTAACAAAGCCTTTTGCTGGGGTGGGGGTGGGGGTGGG